GGAGAGATCCCTGTAGAAGACGCCATAGTGAAACTGGTCAAAGGATGGAAGTAGTGGCATAGGGGCAAAAAGCAAGCTGCAGGGTGACGTGGAGAGCCAAAGGAACTGCCCCGAGGAGATTGGATCCCAGATGAAGTTGGCTGCTGCCTGCAGGAAGGTGTACCGTTGTGCAACAGTGGCATGGCACAAGAGGAACATCTTCAAGGAAATTTTGACCCAAAGAAATTGTGGACCACGGAAAGAAATGACCGCAACTGGAATAAAGATTACACGCTGTGCAGGACAAAGATGTATGGGGCAAAATGAAAACAACATTGAACAAGAAACCCTGAAAAAATGGAGAATAGATAAATGGAACAAATGGAACCCCCTCCCCCGCGATGACGTAACAGGGGACATCGCGGTTACTATGTGGCAACAGGCTACTCTGTGCAGAGACTGTTGCTTGACAATCAGTAAACATGACGTCACACAACAGTGGTAGCTATCACGTAACTGTTTTCTGTGTTGTCAGTGCAGAAGCTACATAATAGGAGTATTCGTCAGTAAGAGGGAGTAACCAGTCAGTCGCAGTCTAGCAGTCGCTGGGTCGAGTTGTATCGAGTGAAAACAGCACAGCAGCCACAAGCAAACCCTGGACGATATATAGAACCTCCACATCAAAGATAGCCAGGTGGCACAATATCTGCCCCATATAAGAGGGACGATGGGAGGATGAACACGAGCCTGCATGGTTTACGAATTTTAATTATTGACAATACAAAAAATTTTTAATTAGCATTAAGAAATTTTATACAATTTTTTAAAAAACTTTACATTCCCAGGAAACTGCTGTGTTTGTGAAATGTTCTATTTTGTGTACTATGTATTGTAGCATATAAGGGTGCGTACTTTACGTCTAAACAACTTATGTGATGGCGGTTTCCTATTTGTAGTGATGTTTGCCCTCTGAAGATGGTCCACAGAGACCGAAACATGTAAGGGTGTTAAGTTTTCATGTAGTAAAAAACTTACAGGTCACATTGGACGGAGTGATTTATATTTGTAATTGTTAGTGTGACGGACCAGAATGAAACAAATAAAAAAATGGAGAATAGATGTTGGAAGTAACATGAATGCAACAATGGCATAAGGGACAGAGACTACAAGACAACAAACAAATAAAGGACCCAACCATGAACAGCATCGAGGGGTAGAGCCAAGGAAAGAGAGCACATCAAGGGAATATGCAAAAAGGACATATATGAGATTTTCGGTGAAAAGATCATGGAACATGTAGTTGGAACTTCCAATGGGTTACCGAAAATGAGGAAATGGACCTTGTGGAGGTGTGGGCCCCTTCACCCCCCCCCCAAAAGAAAAGGAGACTGCAAGCAGAGGAGGAACCAGTAATGCAGAAACACCAGCCTCCCCAGCATGAAGGGAAAATGAAAGTGATGAGCGAATGTGAAATAACGCATTGACGAACGCTGGACCATGGTATTGCTCAGGACGAACAATCCTAAGAAGGGAGCGGAGGATGTAACGGCCAGAGAATAGTCGCTGCAAGAGAAGTAGCCGAAACAACAGGAGACACAGCAAGCACAGCCTTAGAAGAAAAGGAACGGGGATGTACTGTTAGGCTGTTCGGGATGAACAGCCTTAAGGAGGGAGCAGTGTGACGTATTTGCACTATGCAGGACACCCCCTCCCCCGCGATGATGTACCAGGGGACACCGCGGTTACTATGCGGCAACAGGCTACTCTGTGCAGAGACTGTTGCTTGGCAATCGGTAAACATGACGTCACACAACAGTGGTAGCTATCACGTAACTGTTTTCTGTGTTGTCAGTGCAGAAGCTACATAATAGGAGTATTCGTCAGTAAGAGGGAGTAACCAGTCAGTTGCAGTCTAGCAGTCGCCGAGTCGAGCTGTATCAAGTGAATGGAAATGACTATAGGAGAAGTATTTGTGAAACTGTGAATTATGTAAATGTAAGAGCTAATGTGGAATAAATTCGCCACATTCAAGACAGTGTGAAGTTACTTGTTGCGTTACATACCCAACGTGTGACAATATGTATGGCTGATTCATCTTCTTCTAGGCAAGTTCACAAGTGGGGTCAGCTGTTAGTCCCAGTTTGAAAAGTTGTCCTTTCAGTTGATAGTGTCCTGTACATAGTTCTACTGCCCATCTTAACTGGTCTATGCTTAATTTTAACAGATCCTTCATTCTTCTGGCAGAGGGACCTGGTATAAGTCCCTTTGCCTGTCTGAGTCGGGTTACAGAATCCCAATGCTTTTTGTGATTTCTGTTCATCCAGTCCTGCCTGCTTTCTTTCCAACTCCTACTGAGATGCCGCAAGCTTGTTCGGGTCCTATGAACAAATGTTCAGATCCCGTTCTTGCCAACTGATCTGCTGTTTCATTACCAACAATACCGTCACAACCTGACACCCATATCAGCTGAACTCTGTTATGTTTGGCAAGTTGTGTGAGGGATTGATGGCAGTCCCAGGCCAGTTTTGAGGTGATCTGGTATTTGCCAAGAGCTTTAATTGCAGCTTGACTGACAGAATGTAGATGTTTCTGTTTTTGTAGTTTCTATCTAAATTCTCAACTGTGCATGCCTTAATGTAATGCACTTCTGCCTGGAATACTCTTTGTGTACTTCCCAAGGCTAAAACTAAGTTTTTTTCCCTGTACCATGGCAATACATCGCAACTCCAGTGTCTTTGTCTTGGAACCATCTGTGTACCAGATTAGTCCCCCATTTCTGATGGGCTGAAACCCCTCCTTCCATTCGCTTCTATAAGGGAATCTGATCATGAATGGTTTATCATGCATGTGTTTTGGTATCATTTTATCAAACCCCATCTGCAGGATGGGTTCCTTTTTCATGTCCTGCATCGTATGCATGTCCAAAACCTAGCCTGGTCTGTGTAGGAAATGTATTGGACACATTTATACCTATATGGAATTTACTACAGATTTACCTTGAACACATGTTAATTACCTTCACAAGTTTCATGAGTATAAGGTATTCAATGAAGTTGGTAAGTAGTGCATGTACTGTCCTACTGAATTCCAATTTTTTCCTACAGCTTCTGATAAATACAGAATATCTACTGATGTATTGGGTTTCTGGACTTTATCCATCGTCCTGGTTTTTAAGATAACAAATAAAAACGCGACGTTTCGGAAACTGGATCTGTTTCCGTCCTCAGGTGAAGGAAAAGGGAAACACCTGTTCTGCTGGGTCCGTTAGAAAGAGCTAGCCTCAATAGAATAGGTGTTTCCCTTTTCCTTCACCTGAGGACGGAAACAGATCCAGTTTCCGAAACGTCGCGTTTTTATTTGTTATCTTAAAAACCAGGACGATGGATAAAGTCCAGAAACCCAATATATCAGTGTGTTATACACCATCGTCAGAATCCTATAGTTACTACAGAATATCTAATCAGCAGCTAATCCGCTATACTGAAATATGCACTGATGATCTCCAATACATTCATCTACATATATAGGAAAAAAAGACTAGGAAGACATAAATGTAGGTGGGAGGATAATATCAAAATGGATCTTACAAAACCAGAATGGGGTGGAATGGGCTGGATAAATCTGGCTAAGGATAGAGACCAGTTGAGGGCTCTTGTGAACATGGTAATGAACCTTCGAGTTTCATAAAATGTTCGGAAATTCTTGAGTAGCTGAGTGACTGGCGGCTTCTTGAGAAGGATGCAGCTCCATGGAGTCAGTCAGTTACGGAGTTAACCATGAGAAGAGAAAAGAGAACAAGGTACATAACTCACATGAAAGACTAGCAATTATAAAAACATTTCATATAATTATAGCTGCAATTAACTTAGAAATTTATATCTCAGAATTCCTTAGTGTAGCCTTGGTTTGTTGTTCAAACAGAAGTAACACATTATGCTATTCTCTAAGTTAGAATAGAAAAGTTTCAAAGGCGAGCCTGCATCCTTATTTCTATTAGTGTTGTCCAAAGCTGGATTTTTTAGCACCATTCAGTATGACAGTGTGTCTTACATGGTGGTCACAATCATACATTCTGTATTCATCCACCATCTTACTCCTGAATGCTGACCAGTTCATCAAGAGATAGTTCTGCAACATGTACACTTAGCACATACTAACAAATTAATGATTAATGAAGGTATGGAACAAAATTCTACTAACATCTTTGAATTCAGAGCCCAATAATCTCAGTCAGTTAATAACTGGGGTTTATTTCTTGGCAAGGACAAAAGTTATCTTTGGCAGACTGGCTCTAGGGCCCGCCCACCTACCTATCCAATGGCTACACTGCACTCCTTCCACAGGTGTAAAATGGCAAGAATACAAAACCGACTGCTTGCTTGTATCTAGTAAAGGTAAAGTTATCCCTGTGGAGGCCCATAGGGTTGTGAGAGGTTGAGGTTTGTTGGGAATTGTGGACTCAGCAAGACGTGATAACGCATGCATTGCCAGTAACATTGCCCTGCGGTGATGCAACAGTAGAGGAGCTGTGTTAGGCAAAACTTCCCTGCTATGATGTAATAGCGGACGCTGCTACCGCTGCTAGGGCAACAGGCAACAGGCAACAGTATAATAAGCCAGCTGAGGACCGAGCATGGCTGTGTGTGTTGAGAGAAGCCAGTTGGCCAGCTTGGAGAGATGGACAGTTCAACATTCTAGTGAGAGTTGTTAACATGGAAGGACCGACTGTGAAATTACTTGTTAAAACGTTCTGTGTTATAGTTACAATGAAGAGTAATAACGCGAAGTTGCAAGAATACTCGAGGTCTTGTTTCATGGCAAGGTTCCCACATTTTCTAGACAATTGGCTCACAGATGGCAGTAAGGTTGTCAGCCTTATGCACCGGCCACCCTTTACACCCCAGGAAGATTCCTGGTATTCATTTCTGTTAGAGGCTGAGCTGACCCCAGGGCCAAAGTGGGGCTGGAAGGATTAGATAAATTGAAAAAATCCACCTCATCAGGACTTCAACCCTCAACCTTCCAGCTTGTAGCATAGTACCTCAACCAACTATGCAACCATGTACCCCCTCTTGCATCTAGTGCTGAGGTTAAAAATGTGTGAAAATATTCCTCCACTTCCTCACACAAGTTCATGGGATTATGCTTACACACAGGGACAACAATATCTTCAGTATTTTACAATTTAAACTATGAGTAATATTCCATTTTTTACTAATGTATCCATCAATAATACAACTTTAAAAAGACTTTAGGAATATGCTGTTCACTAAAAATGCATTTTAATACTATGACAGTTCAAATCAATAAAATGCCTGTAGGCCTCTTTACAAGTGAACATTCACTTGTACATTACACATTCATGTGTAAATATATGTACTAGGTAAAGGCCTATGGGCATTTTATTGATTTGAACTGTCATAGTATTAAAATGCATTTTTAATGAACAACATATTCCTAATGTCTTTTTAAAGTTGTATTACTGATGGATACCTTAGTAAAAAGTAGAATGATGCCTCAATACAATGGGATGCTGAAATACAATATTACAAGTAATATTATTTTCAATTAATGTGCACACTAACAGATGTAAACACTGAGCTTTCTACTGAATCAATGGAACTATTTTTTTAATGTAATAATGGTGATTTTAAATTTTAAGAGTATGGAATATTATTTTAGATGAAGTTGCTAATTTCCTGCATCTAGTCACAGTTCTTGCACAGCTAACATGCAAAACAGAAATATGGGCACATGGGGCAAGATGGAAGATGTACGTTTCATATATTTCATACACTCATTCTTCATGCTCATTAAAATATTATCAAATATCTATAAAAATGCCTTCTTGTGTACAAAATAAATATGTAAAGCAAAATATTAAAGTCATTACAACTGTTATTTCCTCATTTGAAATAGCTTTCCATTTGGTGAGTATTTAACAAAATACATAATCAAAAAATATTCACTCAGATTGTCAAATAATGTAGAGGTCCTAACTGATACAGCTCAGCTGCATGTTCTGTTCTGTATTTCAATAAGGGACTTCCACACTAAAGACAAAATGTGTGCCTGCAGAAAAGGCACCCATACACTGAACTTTATAACAATGCCACAAGATATCAAACAGAAATGGATAATTCTGTTAACCATCTAATAATAATAATTATGCATCCTATTATGTGCTTCAACACACACTGTATTCAACCTGAGATAACACATAGTCTCCAAGAAGTTCAATTTTGCACGATCCATGACATATTATGCAAAAAGTACTACTGCTAAGTTAGAAACAAAAGTGACTGTCTCTGTATAACCTTTATCTTTTCACAAAGTTTTAACTTTTGAGCAGTATTTCTAAGTATGGGCAAGTATTTCTGGATTTTGCAAATTTCTCTTGTTCATGCAAATAAATGAATATGTAATATTGGTTTGGAAGGCATTTTCTATGTATGACATAGGAGATGTCACACAGAAATACTGCATGAAATTAAGTATGCTCTTTCTGCACAACACACTTAATAAAGAATTAAAAATTTCTGTTGTGAATCTAAAAAAAAAAGGATCCAAAGTATTGGAAGAGAAGACAGGCTGGTGGGTTTGCAGAATTAGTACTATCTATGGGTACCATAAAGTGTGTCCACCACTAAATAGATTTGGTCGAAATGTGGACGATTTTCTGGTTCATATTCCCAGCACCTCAACATGAGATGATACATTTCATCTGGTGTGCCTTCTGGTGCAGGCATCCGGTAACCTGTAAAAAGTACAAAAAATTTTCTGTTGTTATTTCTCATGGTTAGGACCAATGAAGTGGAAGACAAGCAATAATTCTGTTACTATGACTTTGATTTAGTACATGAAGATGTCAACACTATATAAGTTTTGTTTTTAATTACACTAAATTGATATGCAACATGGGACTCTGTTGAGTCAACTCTCGATTATCTGGGATAATGGTGGGGATGGAAATCACGGTTAATCAAAAACCCAGTTAAGACTAATTTTATTAAAAGTAGTACTGTAATACTGTACCTTCATAATACTATAGGCCTACCTGTATTTAAATTTATTCAACCTCATTTTTATGTCATCTCATGGCCTANGAGTCACAGTCAAACCACTCTCTTATATTTTCCTCATTGACTTCTTCACCACCATGAACTTGGTTAGCTAATTTTGTCAATTCTATGGCTATTTCATTTTCACTGAATCCAGTGAATCCATGGATTTTGTCATCTTCATTAGTGATGAAAGGCATCAGTTTCTTCCATGAATTTTTCAATACATACGGCTTTACTGTATCCCATGCTGCTGAAATCTTGTATATGGCATCTAATATTGAAAAAGACTTCGAGAAACACATCAGATCATTGCCTTCATCGATGTACTTTTGTAGCAAATTTGATCTGTAGATTCTCTTCATACTTGAGATAACTCCTTGATCCATTGGTTGGATAAGTGTGGTAACATTAGGAGGAAAGTATTTCACAAAAATATTTCCATCATCTGACCTCAGAAGACTTTCATTAGGATGTGAGGGTGCATTGTCAATGAGGAGCATAGCTTCCTCAGGTAGGCCTTGGGATTTTAGATGGTCACGAACTTGAGGCACAAATTTAAATTCAAACCAGTCTTTAAATATCGCTCTATTCATCCAAGCTCCTTTCTGATTAAAATAATGGATAGGCAGACTTGGAGCTACTGTTCCTTTAAAAAAGGGTGGTCTTTTTGCTTTGCCGATAACTACTGGTGTTAGTTTGTGTGTTCCTGATGCATTAGAACAGCACAAGACTGTCAGTCTCTCCTTACTGGATTTGTGACCTGGAGCCTGTCTTTCATTTTGAAATGCCAAAGTTCTGGTTGGCAAGCATTTCCAATAAAGACCCGTTTCATCGGCATTATAGATCTGTTCTGACAGCAGATTTTCACTTTTCACGAAACTATCAAAATCGGTGCAAAATTGAACTGATGATGACAAGTCCCCTGACAATTTCTCACCTTGAATACTAATTTCTTGTATTCCACGACGCTGCTTGAAACGTGTTAGCCAACCGGAAGAAGCTTGTTTAGCACAAACTGCTCCTGTTATTGTTGTTCCTTGTGCCCTTAGTTGATTAAACCAGATCAGCATTGCTTTGTCGAGATCATCATATGTTGATTTTTTCATGGTTTTTCTCTTCTTCATTCCACTTGAAGCAGAAGATGAAGCAAAGGAAATTAACTGATTCTTTTGTTTTTTCAAATCACGAACAGTTTGTTCTCCAATACCGTATTGCATTGCTAATTGTTTAACTACACCTCTTTTCCCCAACTGATTGATAAATTCAAGTTTCTGTTGAATACTTAACACAACATGCTTCCTTTTACACGCTGACATTTTGCTAACGCACTTGAAGATCGATACAAAAATACTAACTGGGGCGATGTATCTGTCCTTGAAACTTTCCACAAATCCTTGCATTCTTTCACCCCTACCCTAGAACATTGTGTTAGCATAATGGGACCAAAGAATGCAGAGCTCGGTTCACACTAGTGTGAAAATAGTGTTACAACTCACCACGTGAAACAAAAGTGAATGAATATTAAACAACATATAAGCCTCAAAAAAGCCTCATTAGCCCCGGCTAAGCCGCAAACTGGTTAATCCGCCCCCGGATAATCGAGAGTTGACTGTAATTCTAAATGATCACTCATAAAAAGGGAAAAGTATAAGTGGACATGTCTTCACAACTAAATTCTCATGAAAAATTTTACATTCAGATTTTAACTTTAAACAGATAAAATAAAAATCAGTAGTGATGGTACTTTTTAATCATGACACATTTTTTTTTTCCTTTGGCACTACAGCCCCAGTGAGCCTAGGCCTACCTCCATGAACTTCTACGTTCACTTCGGTTTTTCTAGATCTTACACATTCGGTAGGACTCCTTGGGCGGGTGATCAGCTCATCGCAAGGCCTCTACCTGTACACAAACTAAACATCCATGCCCTGAGTGGGATTCGAACCCACGATCCTGGTTTCCAAGTGAGCGGAGACAGTACATGCCTTAGACTGCTCGGCTACCGTGACCAGCCCCATGACACTTTAGCAATGTAAAATAAAACCACACCCAATTTCTGTTCAGGTATAGACACAGCAGAAAAAATATGAAGACCAATAAATGTCACAGTGGTGACTAAGAAGTGTACTATTTTCCTGAACATAATGCCATGTAGTCTAGTAGAGCTCCACCAGCATTTTGGAGGAACATGGCTCCCCCATCTCCAGGGTCAAAGAATAAGCCAAGGAAGCAGTAACCAACAAGCAGCTGGCCAAGAATATGGAAACAGTATGTTCCTCAAAACATCGGTGAACTTCTACCAGATTACACTGCACCACACCCAAAAAGGTAGTATTCTTCTTAATATTCATTAATGATTATCTGAGGCATAACAATTAAGCTTTTATGAAACTTTACCAAATAGGACATGCTTTATCATTTGATTGCCTGTAGTACATGCCAACAGATGACATACTGTACACCCTGTACACCTTCAATTTTAATATGATAATTAAATTGTAAAGTCTGGGAACATACACTTGTTCCTCTTATTAAATACAATGGTAACTATCACTGAAAGGTATGCTCATGTTTATTATGATAACACTTATGACAACCATAACAAACCTTCAAATGAAACTCAAAACTGAATAATATCTGTGACTTGATTTTTAACAGTGCCTTAAGAAAGAAAAAGATCACACAATACTTTCATAGCTATAAAGACTCATCATGTTACAACCAATTATTTGTATTTCTCACTTACCAGAGTCTATTTTTTCTCTAGCTTTGGAGTTACTAAGTCCATTGTATGGTGTCCCTCCATGTGAGAATATCTCCCATGCCAGCACCCCATAGCTCCACACATCACACAGGGATGTATATTTGCCTGGATGACCAGGGACAAATCAGGCATGTCACAACACACTGAATGTAAGCAGTTCCAGTCAAATCTTCATTCAAAACTCCATAATTTAAAGAGTAAATGCCTACCAATGGCAAGGCTGACTCATCTTGATGCTCAATTCCACTACAATATTTTCTCCTACGCAGATTCTCATGCAAACGTTCCGGAGATTGTTCATAAGAAACTCAATGAAAATCTTATTATTCTATCAAGAGAAATTGCTTTGAAACAGAACAAACTGGGATCATAATTTTTGCAGGGTTAACTCTGTCTATAACATGAACCCTGTTCCTGCTCTGAACACTTCTGTACTCAGGGACATTTATGGAAAAGAGAAGTACCCTGCCATTTTACGCCATTCGTAATTCTCATAAATGAAAAGCTATCATGGAACCACACAAATACATGAAGGCATTTATTTTAAATTAAACTCAACATGTAAAATATCTCTCCACTTATCATCAGAGACTCTCTGAAGAGAGTTTTGCAGCACTCAAGCATCAGCAATTCTGAACTTTTGTTCCTGACATACCTCTTCATCTCAGCACTACATATGCCCCATTTCAATGCAAATTAATTTTTATCTCAAACTATGTATTATTATATATTACAAATATAACATGATGCAAAGACTTCTTTCATTTCAAACAAACTTTCTATATTCCATGTGTAGAAAAATGTTGTATACACAAACGATGTAAGGTTGCTTTCCCAACCCATGTTTGACAATTATGAAATACATCTCACATGCACTGTAATGAGGCTTCATGTAGTCCCAGCTCAGAACTGTTTTAGTGTTGCCTTCTAACACTGATATTCTAAAGAACCTTTTATGTTGCTGTTATCATAATGTTTCGAAATAAGTGGAATTTCATTTACAAACTTTGTGTGTATTGTTGTTTCACATACAGTTTCTCAGCTACACAAAGTCTGGCTATACTACTCATAAATATTTAAAACTCTTCCCACCCCATTCTAATTTAAAGTCTCTCTGAACAATTCATGTTTCAATACCCTCTTATCAACCTGCTTAGAGATAGCATAAATCTCCTGTCTAGACTATAACAGAACATTAAGACGAGTAGAAACACTGTAATGAAGCCACTACAAACTTCATCACTGCAATATTTTGTAGTGTTTGGCCAAGTCTGCAAGTTAATAGTAAACTGAATCAATCTGTTTACAACTCAGAATGAATGTTGTCCAATATCACAACAGCTGTAATCTGGAACTCGTATAATAAATATGGTACAGAATACAATCTCTGTAACAGGAATACCTATCAATATCTATACTTACCAAAATTTAATGCTTCAGGGGCTGTCCATTTAATGGGAATCTGTTTCATGCCATCTGATACTATGTATTCCTCTTCTTCTCGTGACATTCCAAAATCTGATATCTTCACACTGTTTTCATAACCTTAAAAAAAGATCAGCAGCAGGTGGCAGCATTAGCAGTTTTATTTCATGTAACATTCTGAAATGCTATGTAGTTTGAATAATTAAAAAAAAAAAAATGCAACTTCTATCGAGTTAATTTTTATGTTAAAAAAGGCTACCAATTGCATATGTAATTTGGTGCGTATACACAGGGCATCAAGAAATTCATTCCAACCCACACCACCACAAAATTCCTTGATAAACATTTAGATGAAAATGTTTGTTGATAAAATTTTCAGCAATATATATTATGAAAACATGATCATCCTTGAATGCAATGTGGTGACATGGTATGGATAACTGTGCCTTAAATTTTGAAATTAAAGTCTCATTTACCAATAGTTAATTTCATTCCCTGTCTGGTTTACGACAGTTTTCACCATGTCCATATAACCCTACGAGAAGTCCATCTCTACTGGATCCCCAGCAAGACCCCAATGAGCCAGCAGCCAACTACAATTAATTGGCAGTCTAACAGGATGTGCCATTGTGTAGAGAGAGAGAGGTGTGTGTGTGTGTGTGTACACACTATTAAAATGTGGAGTTTCTGTTTTTTCATTTAAAATCATTGCCGAACGAAGGGACATTAGCTGATACATCAAGATCAGAATGTCTTTAGGGTCTGACCTGATACCTTAATTTAAATTGGTAAAAGGTCATTAATAAGAGACAGTGCACCAATAATCTGTGCAGACCAGCAATGATCAATGGATGAATGGTAAAACTGATAGAAATGAAAACTCCATTATTACAATTTTAGGAATGAAAGAGTGAGTAACTGGTGACAACAGACTCTAAATTAAAATGTGAACTTTGCATACAGTATATCCAAGAATTTTTGTTAAATAGTTTTCCACTAATGTTGTATTTTAGCATCCTGTTGCACTGATTCTCGTCCATGATATGTATGTACTGGCCATCTTGTAGTGCACTCAATTTCACATGTCACTTCACTACATGTTTCGGCAACATTGTGCCATCCTCAGGTGCGTTATTTACGCTAAGCTATTGCATTGCTTGCCATCATGTGTCATTCATAAAATTTGTACATACTAACACTTGTTAAGATTTATCATCTTATGCTTCTTAATTCAAACTCGCGTATTGTATGGTTCTTCCACTATGGGAGTCGTTTTTCCTATATTTTGTGTATACTGTGTCTTGTTACGTGTCCATCCTTTTTGGCTGCGAGCGTTGTAATGTTCACAAAAAGGAAGGACACGTAACAAGACACAGTATACACAAAATATAGGAAAAACGACTCCCATAGTGGAAGAACCATACGTGAGTTTGAATTAAGAAGCATAAGATGATAAATCTTAACAAGTGTTAGTATGTACAAATTTTATGAATGACACATGATGGCAAGCAATGCAATAGCTTAGCGTAAATAACGCACCTGAGGATGGCATAACATTGCCGAAACATGTAGTGAAGTGGCATGTGAAATTGAGTGCACTACAAGACGGCCAGTACATACATATCATAGTTTTCACTATTCAGTTTTGGCAATTTGAAGCCTTCATGGCCCAAAAGTAACTCCCATTATCAAACTATCTGATGGTTTGTCAGAAAGGACTAATCATGACTGGTTCTAGGTACATATGTAACTTACCGACTAGACAATTTCGAGCAGCTAAGTCTCGGTGGATACAGTTCTTTGACTCAAGATAGCGCATTCCAGCACCTGCATCTCGACACATTCCCAGCAGTTGTTTCTGCGTTAAACTTCCAGCACGGTTCCGCAGAAATGTGAGCAAGGAACCTCCTAACCAAAAATTACACCCCAACATTTTCAGCACTGCTATGGCGTAAATGTCAGTGACACTATATGAATTCCTTTATCAGTGATATCATTATGGAGTAACATGCACTTGACTATACCATAACAACAGTCACTAGTTTTGGGCCTTAGGTTTTTGTGGCTTTTGCTTTTCGAACTAGGCTGTATGGAATGTTAAGCGAACCTTTCAGTTGCCATCTTCTGGATTAATGACTTTAAGAGGGGTTTGGACAGTTCCCTCTCTCATCCACATGGCGGACAGGGGGAGCAGATGGAAGAAGAAAATAAAAGAGAGGAACAATCTTCCATCTCCTCCTAAACGTAGGGTCACAGAAAAAGTTTACCCCACCTGTTCTGAGGACCATATGGTAGCCAGAACAATTTTCCTCACGTATTTTCATTAATCATAATCGCTGAAATGATATAGCCTAGTGCAAAGAGGTGAAGCTATGCAGTTATTAGTTCAATTAACCTTTATCCTACGGGCATTTAAATTCCGTTATGGGCAGCGGTACGGAATTAATTTAAATACCCGCGATTATAAATCCATAAAAACTGCAATCATTTACCAAATTTGCTCCTATTTCTGCAATTTCTGTGATAAACAAACGAAATAAACGCTGTTTTTTTTTCTAGAAAGAATGTAGAATCAGATATTGTAATTTACAGACTTTATAAAATGTGTAAAAATTTTTAGACTGATTCCAAGTAAAAAATTCCCAAATT